TCAAAAATAATTAGTTGATAAGAGACAGTCATAGATGAAATCGTCAATACTCTGAGACTTGATAACTTTTTCTGTTCAGTTATATTATCAACAAATCATCAAAATATATTCTTTCGGCATAACTATTCCTTCGAAATATCTGTCTATTACTTCTCCAATTCAATTTAAAAAGATATAATTATTGTTCGTTCAACAGTTATGGCTTGAAATTTTAATACTTATTTTGAATTCGCATAAAACATTAAAAAGTCAATACGATGTAAACAATTTGGAAATGAGACGTATCATTATTGGTGTAAATTTTTCATATATAGGGTTGAGTTTATTTCTATAACATTTTCAAATTGTTAAGAGTTAATAGATTTGATTAATTGAATTATATTTCAATTATTATATTCAACAATAGTCAACAGGTCCTATTTAAAAATAAACTTTCTTTAACATTAATATATTTAATCCATTTACTTCTAATTGTTCATTTTTCTTTCAAAATTTTTGTTTGTTTGTTTTGATTATCCTTAAAAATGTAATGGAGAGTCTTGATAAGTGTCTCAATATACTAATAAATAACATGAAATACGTCCGCGAAATTAACTCGACATTGTTTTTAAATTGTTTTAGTTCGAGCACACTTGACTGTTATTATTATTCTATCGTTTCTTTCTTTTCGATTTCCTCGATGATTGAAAACCAAGAATTGAGAGGGACAGATTGATTTGTATGATAGACATGCAGATCGATCTGTTTTTTAATTGATTTAAACATACACAAACGATACACTCACACCTAATGTTTGTTGTTAGTGGAATATTTCAGCTCTCTATGATCCTAGTTGTTCGGTTCAATAAACAATCGATCTTCGTTTTATTAACTTAGTTATCAATACGTCTATCTTTGCTCAGAAAAGAAATAAAGAAGTTTCTATCATGTGTTAAGTAAATTGGTCTGTTTCGCTCCCCATATGTTCTTTCCAATTCCTGTTTATGTGGATTTGTCCAGTAAGAGATTCAGTCTATGGTCCATAGTCTCTATTGCATCCATCAGATCCTTGAGCGTTTCTTCGACATTATCAAATTTTGATGTCATGGAAGCCAACTTCGCTTCTATTTCTATGCTTTTATTGTTTGTGTCACGATGGGCAATCATCAATTCAGCAAGACCAATAACATTATTTGCTAATGCTCGTTGTCCTTGTTTGATCTGCTGCATAGTAGATACTTCTTCGAACAATTTTCGTTGAGTATTCACATATTCAATGGATTGCTGCATGCCCATTCCAGTCAGTCGCCAACTTTTCCAACCATATTGAATAATATTAGCAGCATGATATTTCTGTGCTTTGGCAAGTTCGACTTTGAGCACGAAATTGTAGATATATTTTTCCCACCGACTGAGTAGTAGTTTTTGTGACAGAATGGCAACCAAAAAAGCACCAGTCATTACACCAAGACAGGACGTCATAGTAGCCATAGCTAATGATAATGAAAGATAAAGTTGATTGAGTTTATCGCTTTTCTCCTTCAGAACAATATGAATATGTAAAAAGAAGAAAACCTAATCTAAAGTTTCCTCTCGACAATCGATGAATATAGATACTAGTAAGGGTTATCTTCTATGATCTCAGATTCTCAAACGAACCATCGATCATCAAGAAGAAGCATCGTTTTTTTGTTGTGTTGAATTCAATATTGACATCTAGAGATGTGAGACGTTCCGTCGACGATTCTTTGTTCACTTGTGTACTGTCGGCGGTCTGGCTTACAGCTCTGTTGATATCAAGAGAGTTTTCTCGTATATTACATTTAGTTGAAATAAGATAGTGTTAGACAAAAATTCATCCGATTTGGTAACCTTTAGCTTACCTCGTCCGCAGTATGTGTTGGGTATTATATCGCCATAGCCTAGAAAAAAAATGTGTCATCTGCGCCTCTTTTAGAGAGTCATATATAAAACTTACCGACAGTGTTAAATAAGGTCATAAATACCCACATTGCATTCACTATGGATAAATGTTCATTAGCGCCCGTATAGTTACATGCTCGGAGTAACCAACTTCCAATGAAAAATATTATCAAAAAAAAGATCATCAGGCAAAATACGGGTGATTGTTCCACGGAAGCTTTAATGATAAAGAAAAAATTGATCGGAACTTTATTCAAATAACCGAGTGATCGCGATGAGAAATCTCGAAGAAAATGTGAATGGAAGGTAGTTGCACGACATAATAAATATACTCGAGCAAACACTGTCAATATATCCAAATAAGATAGTATATGTTTTAGACAGAAATTCTCTACTTACTAGGTAATCCAAGTGCAAGATCCACGGGCATAAATGATAACGGAACCGGGGTTGGCACAGGCGCTGTCGAGTTGACATGGTTTATTTCAGATATGAGTTCACTATGGGTCGGAAATTCACGGGGAAACGGATGGATTGTGCAAATCAATATTTCCACGAAAATTTGAACGATTCTTCTACGAGTTAATGCCACATACCAATACGGAATTGAGTTATTCACAGAATGAAGCACCATATCTAAATAATGATAATAAATAATAAGAACAATCAGAACAATCGTGGATATGGTAATAATGAATTTGATCAACCAACTGGCATACGTTTCATGATGATCCACCGAATTAAAGATTAGTTCATTTTCAAACATCATGAAAACAATGCCGAACACTGCAACAAGACACATAATATCGTTCACCAGAAAGCTACAACTCACAAAACGTCTAAAATGTGAAGTAATAGCAGATAACTCACCATTTTTCTTGTAAGTGTTTGCGCTTGGTTAANTCATTAAGATGAGCTTACCCTGACGAGCTGAACATGTTCCGTGGAACGAATCACTCGAGCTGGACCCAATGGGTTCGACGTGACTAGAGAAAAATTAAAAAAAACATTCCAATGAATTGTGATATGTTTAATCTTTGCTCAGTGAACTCTACTTTCTTGTTGAATGAGTTGCGCATGTGAAGAGTCTAATTTTGGTCGTCGCCTCGCGTGGTTGACCTTCGGCAGCTATTTAAATTTTCTTCAACCAAAAAATAAGGCTGCCGAAGAATATTATTATTATCTCGTCAATCTTGCGTCCAATCATTCGTGCTTACCGTCGATCTACAACAACATGGGCCTAATGTTCATGACCAATGAAATGTATGAAAAAGCGTTGGAACTGCTTCATGAGGCATTGAACTCAACATCCACACCCTCATCACCAACAATAGAACAAAAATACTCGCCCACTACGGACCTATTACCTTCTTCAGACTCATTGGTCGATAACCAGAATATTGTAGCCAAAATGGCTGAAATCAGCTATATGCGAGGAGATTATACAACAGCAATTGCTTGCTATCAGCAAGCGCTTGAAAACACTCATGATCCAGATTTATGTCACTTTTATCGAACCAGAATTGACTCTCTTTCTCATTTTTCTGATACTTTTTTATCTAAATAATGAATTAATTATTGCCGTGATTTTCATCTTCATTTTAGATTTCATCTTATTTCAATGCGAATAGCGATGCATTAATATTTCAATTGGCTCAATAAATTACTCTTCATTTAGTAACTCATGGTTACATTTTGCAGAATCAGTCTATTCACGAAGCGAACGGTATATTGAAATGGGGTTCAAAACCCCCGCGCCTATAGGACACAATATGATGTGTATTGTCTTTCACGATGCGAAATCACTTGCTTACCGCCGACGGCAACTAGAATTTCACCTCAAGAAGATATTTCATTACATATGTACCTTTTCAGATATCGGCAAGTTCGCTGGATTTATCAGCCGTTCATTCATAGTGGAGAAACTTGTTTTTATAATTGGTACCAAAAACGCCAAAGCGTTGTGTGATTTAGTCCACAAGCGTAAACAATGCCCAAAGGACCCGTTTGTGTATGAATTACAATTCGGTACAGACCCATTTCAATCTTGCTTAACTATTGACAAAAAATTTCAATCACTCGATCGATTATCTGAAAAGATATCTACTGATGTAAGAAATTACATTGGACTTACTAATAAAGGCTATCAAGAGACCAGCGACCAGGACGATAATGTTGATGAGAGGATTCGCCAAGAATCAACGCTTTTATTCGGTATCCGTGACGGTTCGAGGCAGCAGCAGTCGTTCACTTACTTGAGTCGAGAATCATTGAAATTCGCCCTCTTTCAATCATTTATTGAAGCGGTTTTGGGAATCGACATTGATGACGAAGATGTTAAGAACATGTGGAGACATTGTCGTAAAGACCCAAGCTATCAGAACAATATTAAGCATCTAAAAACAATTGCCCACTTTGAAGAAAAATACACACAACAAAAAGCCATTCGATTTTACACTGAAAATAGTTTTCTCTTCCGTAGTATTAACAGGGCATTACGTTCTGAAAATATTGAGGAAGTCTTCGTATTTCGCCCCGTTATCAAACATATACATCAAAGACTTTGTGAGTTAGCCCATCAACAGATGCCCAGTGAAGTATGTCCACCGCTCGTATTATATCGTGGCAAAAAGTTACCAATGAGCGTTTTACAACAACTTAAAGATAACATTCACCAACTCATATCGATTAACGGCTTTCTTTCAGCAACGAAGACTGACACTGTAGCTAACATGTTTGCTGACCCTGAAAACTTCCGACAAGGGTTTACAAGTGTGACTATTGAGCTGTGCATTGATGATACAAGAATAAGAGATATAATCAGCACTAAGCAAACGTATGCTGACATCTCTGGAGAAAGTTTTTTCCCAGACGAAGACGAAGTGCTCTTCTTTATGGGTTTTGTTTGGTCAATTCAATCAGTTGAACAAGAACCCAACGAAAATATTTGGAAAGTTAAGTTAAAACTATCAACCGATATGAATTTTTCAAAGACCGATAAATATAGTCCAGACGACAGCAATTACACCTACTTCACGTTGGGGAAAATTCTACATGAACTGGGCGAATATACGGATGCAATGAATTTTTATAATCTAATGCTTCGGTCGTGCCCTGATCTTTCATGGAACACACGTGCTGATATTTATTTTTGCATCGCTCAATCGGCATACGCCGAAAAATTGTATCCATATGCATATGATCACCTGAAAAAAGCAGAAGATGCCATCAAACAAGAAGCTGCAGCGAATAATAAAACAATGTCGGCTCCTCGACCAATACACGCAGAGGATACCAACCTTTCCCTTATGTGTATTACCACAAATCTGGGTTTAGTTTATCAGGCAATGCACGATTATACAAACGCCAGAGCTACTTTCAATGAAGCTCTTACGAAGGAGAATGGCTCAGATGACGACAAAGGCAAATTGTACTATTGTATTGGTGCGATCGAATTTGAAGATGGTAGTTACCAACAAGCAAATGATTATTATCTGCAAGCCCTTGACCTCGTCCGGGATGCTGCATTAAAAGAAGAAATCAATCAGAAACTATGCACAGTGAAAACTATTCTCGGTTCACGAATTGCTTGTGCTGAAAAAGAAAAAGAGTGAAAGTAAATGAAGGGTAGCTTTTTTCTCACATAATCTATCAAACAATCCTATATTCTAATCTAACTTCGATTAATTCATTGTGGATGTGAGTGTAGGCCTTGTCGTCAACCTTAGCTACATCCAAATCCTTAATTGACAACGAACTTGCACAGAAACGACTTTTTGCCCCAAAACAATTACTGATGCATGTGATCTGATTTGACTTTTAGGATTGTGAATCTAAACTGAATCGGTTTTATTGCTGAGTGTTGCATGGTCTCTTACTATATAGATGGGATGTCAATGAAAATGTGAGTGTCGCTGTAGACGTCAGTTTTCTGTTACTCACATCCATGTAGTTTCATCAAACATTCATTTGACATACATACTTATGATTTATCACTACTATCAAGGCGCAATACGAATGTATATGACGACAATTCTGACTTACCTTTTGAAGAAAATTACGAAGATGTCAGTCATATTCTGCGCATGTTCGCTATATATACATAAGAGGAACTTTCCAATAGTGTGAGCTTCAGAGTGAACGTCTCACATGGAGCCATAGTCTTACTCTAACACTCACACCATATCTCAAATAGTGCCATTCCTTTTAACATACATTAATAAAGTTGACTGTAGCCGTTTCCCAACATGTTCCTGGAACATTCAGTTTACGAGGTTAAAGAAAGTTCCACCGCGATCATATAGATTCTTGACAAGCAGTAGAAGATTTTGCACCAGGAGATCGTAAATCCTGAAACAATCTTATATCAAACAGTGGAGAAGCCCTTCACAAATTTAGAAGTTCATCAGCTTTAATCTTGTCAGAAGCTCGAACATTTTCCTGTTACATGTCTATGCCTAGATTTATGGGTGTCTTCAGGAAAAAGGATGACCCCTGCTGGATTCCTACTGAGTCTATTACAGAATTGTCACAAGAATGATAGGAATTCTCATTAGAGAATGAAAGAATAATTAATTTCAATGAGACTTTTCTACCAAAATCTTCGGATCGATAGATCTGAACAATGCATGAACTTAACACCTCTATTTGAACACCAATTACAATTGTAAAGCAACTGATGCCTTCTAATTGACAAATAGTATCATTTAACAGCACCGCTTCTCTTTGAAAAGTATGCAAGAGATTCCATTGCTTACAACGGTTAACTTACTATGGGAACTTTTCGAGCATATCAAATCTATCAAAAACTCAACAATTTATTTTACCAAATCTAATCCGACGGGTCAGATCGAATTGCAGAACTTTCTATCGTGGGATATTGGCTCTTGCATGCTTTTTTCAAAGCTCTAATCTGCACTTGAGCTTTCAATACGTTTCAAAAACACTTTTTATAAACAAAATTATCAAACTACCTCCTTAATCTTTACTCAAATGAACAAAATTAGAGATACTCAACTGAGCACGTTTGGTTCTGACTAATATAGGATTTGTATTAAGTCCTATTTATGAAACAGATATTACTCTAAAAGAATCGATTCAACTTGCTAGTTTAGATGATGAAAAATTGACTTACTCTTGTCTCCTATGATCGAAATTCTACAAACGCTAATGACATTTTACATACACATGCTTTTTATTTGTGCGAAACAAATTAATTAGAGGTATATTGCTTGTTTTGAACCGCATGTGCAATATATACTGTCAAAATATTGATATATTATATGAATATGTTTTTAGAATCCTACAATTCATCCTTATTGTCGCACTGTAATGGATAAATGATAATAAAAAAATCTGCAAAAGTGAAAATAATGGATGTCATTTTGCATCATTTCTGGTATACGAGTCGACAGTGAATAATACGTTTTGAAGAGATAAACAAAGAATCTACAGAAAGCAGCATGTAACCCAATACCTTCTTCTCTATAATCTCAATCTTTTGTATTTCTCGAGAAATGCTTGAACAAATTTCCGAATCCTAATACGAATCGCAATGATCCCAGTTGATAAATGTATCATCGTCAAACATCACTATGATTTTCACGATTTCTTCATGTTCTTGCTAAACATTGCTTTTTGATCCTCGAATATACGACGGTATCAGAATTAAATCATAAACCTCGTCGGTACTTTGGCACAACAAACACAAAGGACTCAGTTAAGATATGTTAGGGACCTGCATACGAGGACCTGCCATAAACTATAGCGAAATCAGATTAGCACCCTATCAATGAATAAAACAATGTTACACAGAATCTTATTCGGAACCATTCGAAAAAATGAGTTTCAGACCCTTGCAAGACTATGTCAATAATGATTACGATCTGGAAGAAATAATACAAGCATTCACTTTGAATAGTTACATGCTTTTAAAAAGACTGTTGGAAACCAGCCACTCAAAAATTCCATCTCAATTTGTAACGAGGTATGTTCAGCATCCATGAACGCTAGATTCTTGCAGATGTTGAAAATGAAACCTAATTTTAAAAGAACTAGATGCGGCAGGATCTCTGGTAATGATCAGTTATTCATGCCTACGTAACATACGAAACGTGAAAAATAGTTATAGTTTCTTTGTTAATGTGAAGCCTGAGCGAATTCTCAATCAGAAAAACAGTCCATACAAATTTTATAAATTGCAGTTTAAGGACAATGGTATCGAACGCATGTTTATAAACTTGTTTATTGAAAGCAGTGTTGAATACGTATAAAAACTACAAAGTTTAAATGCCAGCAAGTGAATTGATTTTCTGATAGATCAAAGATACAACTCTAAAAACAAGCGAATCCTTAAGACAACTGAGCATTAATAAGTCTAGAAGCAACTTACAGCAAGAAAAAAACAACGAAAGCAAAATAAAACAGAAACTGAGAGCATACAATATGACATTGACGCACAAAGATCAACCGAAAAAAAATTCACTGAAAACAATCATGCCTCTATTATCACATCTGCTAAACCTCAAAACATTTATATAAGAGAGAAATTCTACAAACTCAACAAAATCTATGAACTCAACAAACTCAAAGAACTCAGTAGCGTGTTACACAACTATACCGGTACTCTCAACTTTCAGCGAAACCACAAAAACTTAGGCAACCAGTGCACAACATAATATAATAACAAAATAGCAAAATTGCATGAGCAAAATGCACTGTGTTGCAGGTGATTTTGCAAGCTTTTTACTGTTCAATGGAAGTGCTTTCGAGTAGTCGCTCATCTTCGAATGCACGATGCCCATGTTGTTGTAGGAAGTAGCCAATTCCGCCTCGGCTGTTTTTGAAAGCTTTTCACCGTCCGATCAAAGTGCTTTCGAGTAGTCCTACATCCTGGAACCCACGATGTCCATGTTGTTGTATGAAGTAGCCAAATCAGCTTCAGCTGAAGGAGGTGTCCTTCGGCTGTTCTCGAAAGCTTTTCACCGTTCGATGAAAGTGCTTTCGAGTAGTCAGACATCATGAAATCCACGATGTCCATGTTGTTGTATGAAGTAGCCAAATCAGCTTCAGCTGAAGGAGGTGCCCTTCGGCTGTTTTTGAAAGCTTTTCACCGTTCGATGAAAGTGCTTTCGAGTAGTCAGACATCATGGAATCCTCGATGTCCATGTTGTTGTAGGAAGTAGCCAAATCAGCTTCAGCTGAAGGAGGTGTCCTTCGGCTGTTCTCAAAAGCTTTTCACCGTTCGGTGAAAGTGCTTTCGAGTAGTCAGACATCATGGAATCCACGATGTCCATGTTGTTGTAGGAAGTAGCCAAATCAGCTTCAGCTGAAGGAGGTGCCCTTCGGCTGTTTTTGAAAGCTTTTCACCGTTCGATGAAAGTGCTTTCGAGTAGTCAGACATCGTGAAATCCACGATGTCCATGTTGTTGTATGAAGTAGCCAAATCAGCTTCAGCTGAAGGAGGTGCCCTTCGGCTGTTTTTGAAAGCTTTTCACCGTTCGATGAAAGTGCTTTCGAGNTTTAATTCAGACGGAACGTCACACACTTTCAACTTATTCACGATTGCTCGGCTTGGCATTTGTCGTTTCTTTATTTTGTCTGAACATGATTTACAAATCCATTTTAGTTCTCTTGACGATGAATACATAAAGTAAGATTGAATCTGTTCCTTTGTTTCATATGACATGTTGTGTTTTATATATTTTTCTTTAACAAATGGTATAACCTGATTACGAAAAAGTGCTAGTCGACAAGATATACAAATATAATCAGGTCCTTCTTGAATTATTTCTTGAAATCTATTGAAGTTATTCATGTATAAATTTCTATGTTTAACTGCACATTTATAACTTTGACGAACAGTATATTTTTTCAAAATACGTCTACCTTGATTATAAATTCGTCTTGAATTTTGTTTTATTAATGTATTGTTATTTCGATACCAATTCGAAGCTCTCTGAATCATTTTCAGTCGAATAGAATTGTCAGTATAATATCTTTTCAAAACTTGACTTTTCATGTTTGCTTTATATTTGTTTCGAAAATCAGAGTTAGTGTGATATTTATTTAAAATATGAATGTTTGATTGTGTTTTAACTTTGTTACGAAAGTCTGTACAATAATGATATTTATTAAAAAAAATACTTTTTGATCGTGCTTTAACTTTGTGACGAAAAACTTTATCTTTATGATATTTATCAAAACAATGAATCTTTGATCGTGATATCGTCTTTTCACGAAAATTAGAATTATTGTGATATTTTATTGAAATATGTGATTTTGTCCGAACCTTTTCTTTATTACGAAAATCATTGTTATTTTGATATTTATTTTTATAATATTTTCTTGCACGTTCAGATTTTTGTTCATTAAATAAAACATTATGAGAATTGTTTTCCTTGAACCAATTGCTGTGACTACGAAGTTTTGCGATTAGTTCTTCATTACTAAGAATATCTCCTTTTTCTTTTTTAGATTTTCGATTTTTTGATTGTCTTTTTCGTTCATTATCTAGACGGCAAACTTTTGATACAAGTTTTCTAACAATATTCTCGACTATATTTAAATCATCAAATTGCTCGGTTACTTGATTTGAATCAGAAAAGTTACCTTGTATCTTTATATTATTACAAAAACTAACACAATATGAATGGATTGACTCCGTTTCTGACATGCTAAGTAATCTTGGCACACACGAGACAGGTGAGACTTTGTGTTTAAAACTTGAAAATCTTTTGACAGCTTTTATAGTTAAAACTAAAATTCGCCATGAACGACTAACACGTGAATGAATCTGTTGTCGTCGTTTGTAGGCTTCTTTTCGTGTTTTAGCTCTTGATAAAATTGATTTTTTTCGAACCATATTTGATTAAATGCAAAATATGATTAAATACCAAAAATCAAATATGAAAAAAAAAGTTTCTCGTTGAGATTTAGCACGTTTATAAACTAAGCACGGCTTAAACTCCTTAGTGAGAAACGGATATTATCTCTTAACTTAGTGAGATAATCAAAAAAGTTTCTTTCGATCTAAATCTTCTTTACTACTTAGCGAAGAAATAGTCGATTCTAAGTAAGAAACTTTAGAAAGTCAAAAATTTGGTGACTTTCTTTGAATCAAAATTGCAATTTATTGTATTTTTATTATTATTCAATAATCAAAATTTCAATTTATTTTAATTTTATTATCCAATAATCAAAATTTTTATTTATTGTTATTTCTTNAAAACTTGCTTTCGTCCTGAGGCAGCTGGAGCTCTTCATTGAGGAGAAAGATTATGACGAGACGTAAATGTCTGCTAAATCTGAGTTGCTCTGATAAGTTGCAGCGAAGATGACATAGATATCATGACGTTTACTGGTCGACAAAAAATCATTTGAGTCGAAGAATGTAGTATTGTATTTTGTTGTTCGCTCGAAATTCGTCTTCGAAAGAACTTGACTATTATAGATCGTAAAAGTTATAGTGTTATTGTAACCATCAAAATGTGATGCGGGCAATAAATTGATGTGGCAATGAAGATCGTCGTTAAAGAAATCTACTTTACTAATGATATCAGCATCAATTGTTCGAAGGTCGTAAATGAATATTAGGTCTAAGTAGTAGTTGTTATCATACGAACGATTTGGTGAGTTATCGTGATAATTATTTTTAAATTTATGTGCATGCTTTAAATGATAATTATTGTTGATAAAGGTTCGTGATAATTATCAACACATTTTGTAATGTATTTTTTTAAGGTCATTGGTAATAATATTTCTTTACTGATTTTGGAGTGTATAGATGTTGGATGGGAGTAATCAAAGTTCTTGTCGACTACACAACCAGTTTTAAGTACCTCGGTAATGTTAGTGAAGTTTGGCTTGAGAACATTGCAGATCAATCCAATTTCTATGAATATTCCCTTGATTTTGTTCCACTCCTCATGATGTTTTTGATTGACACAGAAGATAAGAATGGTGTTCACTCAGAACATATTATGAACGCATGGCACTTGATGTTGTTCAAGTGAAATTGAAACTATACTATGAGCCTTGTCACTGTAATTATTTTGAATAATTTGAATACAGTCTTCATCATCACTGAAAGCATTAATGATATTCATAACATGTCGCAGTTGATTGATGATATTGAGGTAATCAGCATTCTTCTCTTCATCAGTACTTTTGTCCGACCAACACACTTGGACGTTTTACAATATGCTGATGTGAGTCCTTTTATGCGCAACAGTATCTTTTGATTACCGAGATGTTGAGCTGACTTTTTCTGTTGTCATCAAATTAACCAGCTGCTGATTTTGTTTTATTCATACTTGTTATGGATATGGTTTATTCGGAGTTTTGAAAACTATGCTAATGAAATCATGATTGGAGTACCTTAGTTTATATAGTATATACCTTCTTTCTAGATTTTTCTCTTTCGTTAAACTTTTTCTTTCTTTTTTTTTATTGAAGAACACCGCTTTTTTTTCTTTCGCCTAGTATACCCTGTGACAAAAAAGCAAGAGAAACGAATGCAGTTGTTCGTCGTTTTTAAAGGATAAAGAGGAGGAAAAAAGTAAAGCGTCGGCGTGATTGAAAATAAATGGAATGATACGTAAAAAAGAAATAACCATTTGATTTTTTTATGCGTAGAAAGAAACGTTGAAGACATTTTTGTCCAATGATGAGTAATACTTATATTGGCGAATCAAAAATAGGAGTAGTTTTCATTACTAAATACATTATGAATTACGCAACATGATGACATCATGCCTTTTCACCGGTTACACTCATTTTTTTTTGATTCATAATAAGTACATACATACAGGTGTACGAAACAGTTCGCAGAAAAGATTGATGGTTTTCTTCAATTTCATTGTCAGCATAATTTATTTTAAAGCAAAGTTCATTGCACTGAAATAATGGTTCAGTAGGTTTTGTTTCTTTTTCGGTAGTTTTCTTTTTTCTTCTAACCATTTTAAAACAGCATGTGGTTGATACAAAATATATTGTAGTGATGAACAACAGTGATCAACACAAAAGTATATTTATAACAAACCAATGAAAAAAGTATAATAGAAATATTTTAGAGTTGCTGTTATCATTGAACAAAAGAAATTTGCAAAAAAACGTTTTTCATACATTATTTTCCTTCCTCTTTTGACACGGTCATCATCATCATCATGTAATTGATATATTGATATTGATATGATATGCACGCAAAATGGAAAAAATAAGGGGATTTTTATCGTAGAAAAGTAAATTCCTTTATAAAATATAAAAGTTTGATTAATCAGCACATTATCTTATGAATCGATCTATGAATCAGTTTCATTGTTGAGAAAGAGATTTTGAATATTTGTCCAATACATAATTGTCACGTACTCAGGGTATACGTAAAATCCAGAAAATGTATTGTATTATCAATTGCGTAATACAATAAAAGTCAAGGTCAATAACTGTTTTATTGACTTGAAGAACAGAAACAACTAACAAGTTAGATGAAAACGAAACGAACATAGTTATCATCTTTTTAAGAAAAGACAAGCATATATATATAGAGATCTATATGTTGTGATGACTCATACAAATGGAATGAAGAATAGAATAAAGAAACAAAAGAAATATAACAATAGAAATATTGTTTTATACGAAATTAGAGTGATCACAACAGAAAGGAAAAGAACACACATCAATATATATGTATAGAATTATACATATATGTAAATCATGACTCATCAGTATACAAACACCAACAGATAAGAAATGAAATAAATGTAACAATAATAACAATTATTGTCAATACACTACAATAATCATTGTTAAAGTACTCTGGCCTAGGCTTTATTAATGTGTACTAGACTCCTGTTTTTTTACTCGTTCAACTTTGAAATAGATAAAATAATAATTGTCAACATCGTATATGGTTTACCATAGGAACAGCAATCTATAGAGTTACATCGAATAAATATGTTTTACTGCTCTTCTCAGTTTCATTTTTAGAAAGAAGACAAGAGTACAACGTAACCCTGTTGATTTCAATTTTACCATCATTCTCTTACAAAATGCATCAATAAAACGCTTATCTCCTTTTGTATCAGCATCTAAATGTCAACGCTATAAACTATAAATGAATGAGCCAATATTTCAATGTTCAAGGATCGAGTTTTTTTGACATACTTATGATAAATACTGTTACGAAAAATGTAAAGAGCATAAACTCCCGAAAAACATTGTCAGATGATAAATCGCTTTTAAAATGAATCCTATTTCTTTCTATGGATACTATTAAAATTAGAGCAAGTCTAAAAGAATTTGTATCCATGAATCTATCTTCTTGAATTATGACCCTTTAGGAAGTTTTCAACAAAATGCCATTTTCTCATTCAAATCATTTATAAAATTCACTGGCGAGTTTTAAAGTCAATTTTTCGCAAATCAAGTTCTTAATGGGAATCTAGTTCATTGTGAAAGTATCAAGACTTTTATTACTTCCTTTTCTTAGACACGAAATTTAAAAATAAAGTTTGCTTTTTCGTTTAGTAGAAGTTTCAATATTGGTATCTCAGCACATGAGATACTAGTAAATTGGGTACTCTCACAATGAATTAGTTCCATCGAAAATTTTGTTTGTGCAAAGCCGGATTTTGAAAGTGATCTAAGAAAAACCATGACATTTTGTTGAGCAACTCACTAAAACGACCTCAATACAAGAAGAAAAATCCATGGATACGAATTCTTTAAGGTATTTTCTAATTTCAATAAGGTCTATCAATTGAAGTAAACTTTACCAGTGGCGTAGCCAGGAATTTTCGAAGGGGGATGTCCGACTTATTATGGGGGGTGCACACCAGCAGCAAAATAAATTTTTGTTGCTCTGAAAGATTTTTCACCTGTACCCCCCCCCCCCCCTTTCCAGATGTTTCTTGACTAAGGGGTGTGCCTGGGCACCCTGTGCATACCCCCTGGCTACGCCCCTGTCTTTGAGAGACTCATCTTACGTTAGTCTTTCGCATAGATACTCATGTTTGAATTTGAACAACGAACTAATAAATTTTGCTCATGTTCATAGTTCTTTTTGGACAAGTATAAAAATCACACTGTTTAAACAAAATATGATATTGAATTATGGTATAGCTTTGCTTCCAAAACGAAACTTGAGTAGTGTATAGTATGAGATAGATTATAATCTGATATATTTACAAAGGTTCCAGCTTGTAATAGGTAGTTTTGATTACATGAATAAAATTTATTAAAATATAGTTCTCACCTAATTTACTTTACATAATCAACACTTTTTCTTAAATGATATATCTATTAATCATTTCAAAAATGACATCGAAAGAAAAATATATTCTATTAAATAAAAAAACTTTCAAACTTGATTGTTGTTAATATTATATTTATTGAATAAATGAACTTAAAAAAAAATAACAAGAAAATTTATTTAGTGTTAATATAAAAAGCTGTTTTTCAATAAAGCACAATCGATAAAATTCACCTAAGAACTAACACATTAAATATATTTTTATTGAGTTGGAATAAAAGGTACACGGCCAACATTATCTCGTTTTGTATTCACAATATCTGGATATTTATGTGTAAGTTCTTCAGTACCAAATGCAATTCGATCAATAGCTTCAACACCTAACATCATTGAATGATCTTGATTTGATACTTCATATTTCCATGAGCCAAATCGACCACGTGAATAAATATTATGTGATTCGAATTCTTCAAATAGTGGTGTACAAAGTTGATCACGACCATAAAATGGTGTTGGATAACCATATTCTATTCGAATATGAAAACGTGATAAAATTTTTGTATCATTATTAATTAATTTTGTATTTTTTAAACCTTGTTCTGTAATAGAAATAATGTTATTAATATCAACAGGTTTGTCAGGAGATTCTGCAACTTCACACATAAGTGACCATTGTTCACCTGGTTTTGGTACATGATAAGGTGAATAATTTGAAAAAAGTGTGGCACGGTAAAATGGACAATCCTCTTCAGGAAAATACATCCAACATTTTGTAATTAAATGTGCTGGTGGTTGACCTTCAATACCAAAACCTAATATATGACTTGATGAATAACGGAATTCTTTAGATTTGTCAAGTAATTCACTACGAGTAATTTTTGTTGTACCTTCAGTAATTTGACATAAAATATTCATTGGCATTGTTGAAACAATAGCATCATAAGATTCTGATGAACCATCACTATATGATATAATTTTTTGAGTAACATCAATTTTAGTTACTTTTTTTGAAAATTTCAGTTTTTCTTGTGGTAAGACTTCAGCTAAACGACGCCATATTGCACCTGTACCACCTTTCATTGGAAAACGAAATGTATTATTAGGTCCCCAACCAATTTCATCTTGACCAAGTATAACATTATGTATTACGCGTGATATATTAACTGTGGCAACACGTTCACCCATCCATTCAACATTCATTTTATCAGGTGTATAAGCCCAAACTTTAAAATTATATGGACGCATAAATACATTACATAAACCACTACCAAATGATTGTTCCATCCAATCAGCAAATGTAGCAGGTTTTGGAAATGATGAACGACGACGTTCATTCTCAAGAAGACCTTCAATACAAGCAACAATTTCATGTTTTGGTAGACGATGAAGATTTTGTTGTAATGGATACGGAATAAATGTACCACGCATCCATACCCATGCTTCACGAATTTTAGAATTCCAATCAGTAGGATTTGGTAACAGGTAATCAAGTAAACGAGTAAAATAAGCATAATGAGAAAATATAACATGACCACCCATGTCCCATAGAAAACCCTTTTCATCTACAACTGTTCGAGCCAGACCACCAGCATTTGATGATTCTTCGACGAGTATCCAATCAACATTGGTATTACCTTTAATAAAAACGAAATTTAATTATTCTTTTTCGATAGAAAAATTTTCTTTCAAAAAAATGGAACCTTGACGTCGAATTTCTTCAGCACGCCAAGCAGCTCCAAGTCCACATGGTCCACCACCAATTATTACAATCTTCATCGTCTACCGCTGCAGTACTAATCTAAAGAAAAAGCATTGTTAAAAACTAGACTCAACATAGAAAGCAAAAGAAAAAAAGTGCAAGGCAACGATGCATTACATTGTTTCTTTTACTTTCATAAAACAAGAACAAACAGAAAGCGCGTTGACTCCACGTGAATCCAGCTACTAGTTCAAATACAGATACTCATTCTCCGTTTGTCAATAGTAAAAAAGAAAGAATAAGAACGTTTTTTTTTCTTTTGCCTCCTTTCGTCAGACTTTTTTCTTTTTAATACTAAAAAAAATGTAGGTAACTTGCCAAGGTTTTTTTTCCTTATCATTCTTAATGATGAATATATTCAATAAAATAATTACTAGAAATATTTAAAATTAAGTCATAATAAAATAATCGAATAGCTTCTTATATGAGTTTTGGCGCTTGAAAAATTTAGTGATTGTATAATTTCTTTACAAGCAACATAATAATCATAGTTTGTAACAGTGAATGGGTCAAGATATTAGTCAAATTGATTCAAATGAAATCCAAAAAATGTTACAAAAATTCGGCAAACTTGATGAAGACAAAAGTGGTGCATTATCAGCTAAAGAATTTATGCAAATACCAGAACTAGCGTCAAATCCATTAGTCGAACGTGTTATTGATATATTTGATAGTGATGGAAATGGCGAGGTCTTTTCTATAAAAAAATTTATTATTATATTAATATACATTTATTATATCTTCACTTTTAATAGGTTGATTTTACTGAATTTATTCGTGGTTAGTTTTTATTCAAGATCTTTTGTTTTTATCGATCTATATTATATTTTAAATTAGGTATGAATAGTTTTGCTTCAAAAGGTGATACACAATATAAATTACGATTTGCTTTTAATATCTATGATATTGGTAAGAGTATAGATCTATTAAAAATCGTACAAAGTTCATCGAAACAAACTAAGGAATCAGCAAGTTTAAAAATCGTTGTAGAAAAAAATAAAGTTGCAATTATAATTGAGATTCATAGATAATTTGAAAAACATACAACTCTGATGAATTATATTTAAAAGACACTGCAATTTTGTCAACAATTCTCACAAACACAGCAAATAATAGGATATGTATCCATGATATTTCTTCAATGTACGATTCAATTTTATCCAAGGAGTCTATATCAAATTTGAGATTTGAATAGAACAAAAACACATTTATAAAAAATAGTCATATGTTGTTGAAATTAATTGCAGTGATAATTACAACTACCGGATGATGCAAAAGTTCCGTACTAACTTTGTTTCTAGTATAGTGTAACAACAACTGGTAGTGGTAATTTGATAGTTTTTGTTATCAGAAAGAGCAAAGTCTGTACTACAAATCTGTACAAAACATCTGCTTGAAAATACTTATCCAAAGCTGAAAAAATTGAAGAACATCATATTCAACTGAAAAAGTTTTCTGTAAATTTCTGGAATTTAAAAAAATAGCATCTATTCACTGAGAAAGTTCGTCTTATTTTCTGTTTTTTATCAAGTTTTTATTATTGGTTGAATTTGAAATTAATATTTTCCTAATTGCCTTGACTAGCGAGGAGGTGTTCACAGCTAATAAGTGATTTCACTACATATAAGGTATTATCTCTAGCCATCAAAGTTATTAAAACGCTGTATTTCATATTCAATTAGAAGTTAGTGAACCCTCTACAAAAGCATATGATGTAAAACAGAATATTAGATATTGCGAGAGAACTTTCATTGAGCGTTGTTGAGAAAACAAAATAAAGTTTTTAATAAAACTGTTTCCGGTAGAACCTGTGGATTTGTAACTGGCATCTTTTAATACCAGTAGAGAACCCATATTGCATTGGTTACACTCAAATATAAAATGCCTAAACATTTTAAAAGTCGGTGCAAGGAACATAGCTTTGTACTAAATATTTTACTATTTCTAACAAGAAAACTATCGAGTCGTCACAACGAGTTGTTGTGATGTTATATTTAAAAAAAAAATGGTTGCAGAAATTTCGCATCATCCGTTATGCCACCATTTCAATCGATTTCTAATAACTGTGAAAATATTTTAAATAATCTTCTTTTGGAAATCCATTCGTTTTTCGAAATACATATCTAACTCTATGGAATTATGCTTATGAATTGTCATTCTAGATAAAGATGGTTACATAACAAATGCTGAACTATTTCATGTATTAAAAATGATGGTTGGTAATAATCTATTAGATGATCAATTACAGCAAGTAGTTGATAAAACAATAATTTATTCGGATAAAGATGGTGACCAACGTATATCATTTAAAGAATTTTGTGATGCTATTGGACCGAGTCTTCGTGAAGATATTATTAATCATTTAAATAAAATTACAAGTGATGATCGATAGAACAAAAAACGATAATGTTTTTACTTTTTTTTCAATTTATATATTAATTTGTTTCATTTAATATATTTTGAAGTGCTTCTATATAAGCAACAATTTTACGAAGCATACGAACTTTTGATATACGAGTAGAATTTAATTGATCTTTATTATTATTTGTATTAAATGGTAAAAGTGCTTGATTAACATCTTGTACACGTCTTCGTTCACGTCTTTCAACAATATGTTGAGGTCGTAAATGATGTGGAATATGTTTTGATCGACGTATTCGTTTCTTTTTTGAATCTATATCAGTTGTCAGTGATACTATTGGTATTGAATAAGGATTTGTAGTATAATTTATATTCGGTTTTTCATATTGATTTTCATCATTAAATGACGAATAATACGAAAGAGTACAGTATGGTTCATCCGTCATTGTATAAGAATAATCAAATGTAATATTAGTAAAAAAAGAAAAAGAATTAAGAAATGAATAGATGAAAAAAGTCAAAAGAAAAAAAAATGAAAGAAATTTACATGATAATATTTGTCATGAAATTCGTGCAAACATTATAGCAATGAATATTTTCGGATGTATATATGATTTCTCAGGTAAGAAATTTATCTTTGATTTTAATAAATAAAAATAAGGAAAGATTTTTGTTTTATATTAGAATTTATGTTTATTTAAAATGATTTTTTTTTTCTTTTATTGTTGAGCGAAATAATTATTTTATATACGTAACATAATTATTAACAATCATTATGAACAATCAAAAATTACAATAAAGAAAATATTGATCACGAAGATTTAATATTTTTATAGAAGAAAAAAATAAAATCTGTGTTTACGATCGATTAAGAATACCATAGAATCATTTCGGACTAGTAATTATATTGTCATTGAGTAATTCATTTGTTTAATTACTATGAACATTATGAAATTTTATTATTTTTCAATTTAGAAATAAAAAAGAAAAATGTTCATTGAAATAATTATAAGATTGTATTGATATAGAAACTATTTATGGAATCAATCTTCTATGCTATATTAAATTCTATTCATTTGATATGAAAATATTTAAGTCAAAAACCCGAATGACTTCAGTTTTATGAAATACGATCTAAAAGGAGAGTTGAAGTATAGGAGTAAAATTCTGGAGGAATTAATAAAAGGATTCCGAAGGCATGTGTCTCAAAATATATAGCTAGTATTAAGTAATCTCTTTATGACTAAGAACAGCATCAATATCGTGTTCCACATTTTAATCTTGCTGAGATTACACTAACAAGTTTTTTTGTATAATAGCAAGTTCATATATTAAAATTTAATTAAAGATTATAAATCTGATAGTCATTTTAAAGTCCAAGATTCAGTTTCAACTCGAAGATTTTTACTCGATCTTAAGTTGAACGTTCGCATATATATATATTAGTTTAATTTCTAAGACTCTTAGTCTATGTGAAAAACTGTTGAGCATATTTTTGTTTCCATTAAAACTGTTTTGTATTTTTATAAGGAAACATTTTGTCCCATGCGAGATGGGATGAAACGGAAAAATTTCCGTTCAATCCATAGAACTTTACATTTGTCAAATATCAAAAAAAAAAATTCTAAACATATCTATCATTTTCATTGATATTGCCCATATTTACATAATTTCATTTTATATTTCAGAATTTTATCATAGCCAAGTTCATATTTTGACGAGAAAGACATCTATTTCGAAATGATTGGATTGTTATTAATAAAAAAACGGTTGTTGTAAAAGACATTTGTCCTCATGAGATGAAATATTTTCAAAATAGTTGTCTCCCATGGGACCAATGAGACGGAATGAAATGGGATTGTTCTATCCCACGCGCAGCTCTGATATATATGTAAGTGTTTTTCTTCACTAAAATTATTCATTTTCCTTTCATACGATCGGAACTTCTTTAATTCCTTTTTCCTGTATTAAATGAAAAATGTCACATTTCTTTTTCTATTTTTATTCCAACTTGGTCACTATTAGATCGATTGATGCATCGTGAATGAACTTCATTTATAAACATTATGCAAAGCGTTTTTTTTTCACGATATGAGTTAGAAGTTGGTAATATTAAATATTTTTTCATTAAAATCTTTTTGGTATCACTGATTTTTATTTGAAATGACGCATTTAACTCCAGTGATAAAAATAAAACCACTTCAAGTTGTACTTTGACATATTGTATCAAATGCAGCATGACAAAATTGTTGTTATCTTTCTCTCCTTGATATCTTTTTTTAATGTGTCACTCTTCATACGACAATGTACGATCAAATAGACGTCAGTTTTACTAAAATGTGTGTTTCTGTTTCGTATATAAAGAGACATTTATTTTTTTTTTTTTGTATATTCCAAAAAACAAAACGCTTGTTTTATTTATTTTTTGTAGATATTTATTCGATCGTTCCAATATTCAAAGAAACTAAAATAGAAAACTATTATAAATTTAATGACGATATGCAGCCACCTGATAGCGTTTTACCTTATATACTTTTACGTCGATGATTTAATTTATTTTATTTTATATATTGAGAATCTGTTTGATATGTATACATATATTTATGCATATGAAACGAACTAACCATTTTTTTTTTCTTTCTTCTCTTTTTCTCCTAGTCATTTTGTATGAAATAGTCTGTCAGACATGCATTCATTTAATGCCTCCATTCGTTGTTTCGAGGTCACGGTCACAACATGGTAGTATTTATAAGAGATTGTCTGTTTGCAACTTGTATATTTTCTCCGATATACTTATTCTTCTCATCATTCTTCTCTTTTTTGATAAGAATAAAAAGCATGTTCGTCTAAATTCTTTTTGAGTATAGGTTATTCATTGTCAATGACGTCAGAAATGAGTAAAGAAAATAACATCAGCAATATTATTTTCTATGTTAGCTTTTTTTTTCTCGTTCTTTCATACCTTATTTCACTTATATAGACATGCATACGCCTATGCTTCAGTATGTAATGGGTCTTTTTTCTTTTCTTTTTAATGTCATTTTCGTAAGGAAGGAAACATAAAAATATCTCATGTGTTTTTTTCTTTTTGAACATACTAAAACATTATTTCAGAGTGTAAATTAAAATAAAAATACTAAAGAAATGGCTACAGCATCATCGTATAAAGAAGAAATGCATCCATTCGCAGCAGAAAGTAAGCCTTTTTTTAAAGATCATCAGATTTTTGAATAAAAGAAGTTTTATCTTAAAAAGGAGGTACTCTTCCAACGACTGCAGCAGGTATTCGAATAGCAAATCCTGGATGTAATTGAATAATATAATATTTATTTGAAGTTAATTTTTATATTATTTTTTTTCTAGCAATTGATATTCGTCAATCACCTAATGAAGGTATTGGTGCTTGTGGATGGATATTAGTTATTCTATCATACATATTGGTTGTTATGACATTCCCATTTTCATTATGTCTTTGTATCAAGGTTTGTTTTCAATGAATATACTTTATGCCGATTTTCGATAATACTTTCTTATTCATTTAGGTTGTTCAAGAATATGAACGAGCTGTTATTTTTCGTCTCGGTCGTATTTTACCAGGTATGATTAGAAATAGATAAAATTTAATAGAATTATAAAAACAATGAAATAGAATTTTTGTTTTTGTATATAATTTGCACGGTTAGTCTGTTCGAAATCAATTGTCAAATGAGCAAAGATGCATGTAATAGAATGTGAGAGTAAAAAGAAAATCCTTGACATTTTTGTTTGTTACATTTTGAAGCTTTTGTGATTAGAAAGCACGCAACCAATGTGCTAGAATGATGAAGATCTGTGCTTCAATAATAGACAACAGTAGATAATCTATCTAATCGGTCAGAGTTTTAGTAGAATAATTCAATTTTTAGAACTTACAAATTTATTTTGGTTTGTACTAGAAATTCTATGAATCTTTTTTTTATTCCAAAAGTGTTTGATTAGAATGTATAAACAAAAATTCTTATGAGTATTTTTATTTTCAACTTTACATTTAAATAGATTATGATTATCGACAAATGTATTTTAAAAACAATAGAAAAATTAAAGCAGATAAAATCACTGAGAGCATCATTTCCATAATAATATATTCCTAGAATTTATTCAATAAGAAATACACAAAAAAAAAAAAATTAATCAGATAACAACTGAACAATATATAAAATAACTTCTATATATTAGTGTCCTATGGGACAAACGTCAATTGCGGAGTTATGGGATTGTCCCACAAGTCTCTTCTATACAGAGGTCGCAAGAAGTTCCATTATTGGGTATAAAGAAGTAAACTTCAACTCTTTGACATCATATTCTAACTATAAATAGAGCACGGTAAACCATGATTGCAGGCCGCAACTTGAGATTGATAAGTTTTAATGCAGAGAATGTACAATAAAAACATTGATTTTTTCCACATTTTCTGATTCTTCACTATTTAAACGTGTTAATCTACATCTTCCTTATTAATAAAGAAAGATTACTCCAATCTGTTGTAATTTCAAAGCATAGAGAAGCCTGCATTGTCTGGAACCATCACAGTATGGATTGTCTTCTCCATTGACAACTGTGATTGTGAAATTTTCAAGACAAACGATTGAAATTTGCCGGCGATATGAGTCACTTTTTGAGAATTTCCATTAACTCATGCAAAGATTAATTTCTAAATCAAGCAAACTAAAGCTGTTTGATATGGAATTTTTATTGATGATAGAAATAACACTGATCTATCGAATGCCATGAGATGTATTTTCGATGTTGAGTTATCCTCGCCTAAAAACAAAATCTATGTTGACTTTTTAGCTTCTTCCAAGGAATATCGATTAGTCCTTGCAATCAGGATTCAACATGCTCTATTTATGGTCAAACTATGAGACTGAAGAGATTAAAGTTGAAGTATTTTTTACGACTAGTAGATTATATATATGGACATAAAATATTTCTTATGTACTGCTTCGTATCGAATTGAAATTTATTTTCATATATATATATAGAAATTCTAATTATGTGTTTCCTATTTTCTAGGTGGTGCTAAAGGTCCCGGTTTATTTTTTATTTTACCTTGTGTTGATATAATCATAAAAGTTGATTTACGAACGGCAACATTTAATGTTCCACCACAGGAAGTACGTTTCTTTATTAATTTTTTATGTTTGTCAATAAACATGTGATTATTATTTATTAGGTTTTAACACGTGATTCAGTAACGGTTTCAGTTGATGCTGTTGTTTACAGTCGTATTTTTAATCCGGTAAATTTAATAGAAAAATAAAAGTATTTAAGTTTTGTCTTGAATATTTAAAAATTTCTTTTTAGGTTATTAGTGTAACAAATGTTAAAAATACTCAATATGCAACACAATTACTTGCTCAAACAACATTACGAAATATTCTCGGTACAAAATCACTTCAAGAAATTC